CCTGAGTCTCGTTACGAACTCTCAAATGAGTAGAAATTGGGGTTTTCCCATCTTGAAGTTGTTGTGACTTGATAGGAGGATACTTACGACCCCCAGTGTAAGAATCTATTTGGGGTTCATTCACCGGACCCAAACGTTCTTTGACTGGAATTCTACCTCGATCATCAGGTAAAGGACCGAGGCGATCCGCCATTGCGATCTTAAACTTTAACCAGTCTGGACTGACCCATGACTTCACTGGTAACATATCAGAAGTGATTGCAGTAGACGAACCAAGAATGGATGTCGACGGAGTCAAAAGAGAGGCATTGGAAGTTTTCTTTTGGCTGCGACGAGGGAGATTGTCGCGGTTGAAGGGTGTGCCGCGGTAGCGGAAACTGCCGCGGTTGGAAGATGTGCCGCGGCAGTGGAAGCTGCCGCGGTTGAAGGATGTGCCGCGACAGTGGAAGCTGCCGCGGTTAAAGGATGTGCCGCGGCAGTGAAGACTGCCGCGATCAAAGGATAGGACCTGCAGACCCGATTTTCATACGAGTTTGGATTTGGGGATCCATACTTTGTGATTCTTTGGTGCTTCCTTAGACACTGTTTTCTTCTTTCCTTCTCGCCTTTGTTGCAAAACAACACGAGCACGAGCGGCATTTGCCCGACTCTTTTGTATCTGTTCTTTGAGAGTCGAACGAGCTCTTTTGACGAGAGTCCATTCCTCCGTCGTAAATTGTGCAGAAATGTGAGTGTCCTGCCCTTGGGGCAACTGGTTCACTTTTTGCTTCCTCGACTTTAAGTCCGTATAGTAATGGACTCCGTCGGTTTGTTGTAAAGCCTTTGCCAATTGACGAGCGCGGCGTTGGCGTCGCCTCTGACGAGCCCTCTTCGTCAGAGTTGGCGAACTTCGATCGAACGACTCCTTAATTAGGGTGGAATCATTATGAGCAGAGCTTCCGGCTTTGGGGGTTGTCGGGATAATGTTGCGAGGCAAGGCCTCAACAACAATTGGGCGAGAGTCTTCACTTTTAGCCTTCTTTGGCGTATAAGCCTTCTTCAATGATGAGATCCTCTTGTACTTGCGAGATAATGAAGATCTTGAAGAGGATGATGAGAGATATTCCTCAAACTTGGTTTGGTCAAACTCGTATTCGACCGTGGATTCAACTGGAATCTTGATCGGCTGTGACACGACGGTCTCAGCAGCGAGACCGTTGGCTCCCACTGTGGTCGCCAGTTTGTTTGCGTCAAAAGTTGGTCTCGTTGTGGAATTCATTATATCTTCGGTCGATTACAATAAATTCAAAAGAAATAGCCTTTTTATAAGACTTCTTTTACACAACAAAAGGAAAATTACAACTTTTTAGAAACAAACGCAGGATCGTTGTTCGGATCGCTGCTTGCGTGGGATCTTTGCCTGTGCCGGGGGTGCGTTAGCCCGTGGACCACCGATTCACAGATTCTGATTGAATCGTGAAGGTTTTGGGAATTCTTCATTCGTTTATCGAAGTAAGAATTTAAAGTGAATATCTTATCGATGTAAGATATTCACTCTTCCAAAGATCAAGTCTGAGCTTAGATCTCTAGGAATCGCCAAAAGCTTCTTGAGGATATTTGTGAAGAAGGAAGACTCTCTCTCTTGCTCTAATTCACCAAAAAACTCAAGGCTCTATGCTCCAATCTGCCCTCTCCCCCCTTTATTTTGTGCCTAGGGAGGTATTTATAGGGGTAGGAGTGCATAACAGTTGAAACAGAGGGTAAAATAATCGCCAGATAACTGTTCTTTGACCAGTGCAGTTTACATGCCGCGGCATTGGCAGGGCAGTAATGGACTGCCCGCGGGCCAAGAGGGCGTTATCAGCGTTTTCAGTGGCGTGCCCAACAACCGTTCTCCGACGACTTCTAACACTTTTTCGTGTTTACTGTTGTCCAGTCAGCACAGTTCTATTCTTGATATGTCGCCACGTGGGTCTCAACTCATCGTATAACACTGTAACTGGCAGCGCATCCTCTAGTAATACACGGCACCTAGCTGTCGCCAAAGCCGCGACCTATAGGCGCCGGCTAAGGCGCGACACTCTGAACTGCCGCGCCTAAGGCGCGACTCTCTGAACTGTCGCGCCTAAGGCATGTCACCCTGGCTTGCTTGTTGGTGTATCGTTGTGTCTACACTGTTCTTTTCTCATCCTTGAGTAGTGTTTGGATATCTATGAGCATTTTTTGACGCCTACAGTCCAGACAAAGCAAAAATGCGCAGATCACATCAACAATTCCATAAAACTCACAGATGTAAAAAACTTATTGATAGTCTGCAAGAAGAAGGTATGCCTCCATCCACTATTTCTCGCGTCATTAACGCAACCAATGGAAGAAAATGTGAATTAGTGACACCACAACAGTGCATTGATCATATCAGAACCCAAAGAGTCAACAATATTGGCCATGAATGCGTATCTATCATTTGACATTTTCAGAGTAAGACAGCGAATGATCCAGAATTTTATTTTTCAATAGAAGTAGACAGTAGTGGACAAATGAGGAGTGTTTTCTGGGCTGATGGAAGATCAAGAGCATCTTATTTGCAATTTAGTGATGTTGTTGTGTTTGATGTGACATACAGAACTAATAAGTTCAGTCTTCCATTTGCTCCATTTACTGGTGTGAATCACCATAGGCAGTCCATTTTACTTGGTTGTGCATTACTAGCCAATGAACAAGAAGATACTTTTGTGTGGTTATTTCAAGAATGGCTGAAATGCATGCATGGTGTTCAACCAGGAGTCATCATAACAGATCAGGATAGAGAAATATATATAATATAATAAGATATTTAATATAAACCAGGAGCCATCTTATTATATTATTATTTATTATCAATATTTTTTATTATTTTATTTATATTTTATTATTATATAATACATTATTGATATATTAAATATTAGTATTTAATATGTTAATTATATTATTATATAAGATATTTTATTTATTATATTTTTATATTATTTAATATATATAACTAATATATTAAATTAACTATAATATAGTATAGTATAATATAATATAATAAGCATGTTGATAATAACTCTATATTAATTACATTTAATATATTATATTAGATATTATATTAACACATTCTCAAACTCAAAACCAAAACACCAAACTTAAAACACCTAAAAGGTGTTATGAAATAAGTGTTGTGTTTTTGGCTTGAGGATGATTTAGCTCAAAAAACACCATGGTTTCCAAACGCATGACGTTTTGTTTTTAGAAAAAACATCATGGAAACAAGTAAAACACTATGGTATCCAAACGGAGCCAAGGTATTTATAACACCATATAGAAAATGGTTGTCCACATTATCACTTTACATCTTAGCTTTTACATTTTTTTTTGTTTTAGATTCTATTGAGAATCCTCAAATGATAAAATTAAGTTATTTGGTTTACACGAGAGATTGTGAGAAAGTGATTGTTATAAGGACCACAACCCTTTTCATTTGTGACTCTACTTGTCCGTGGGCAGCTCTACTAGACCAAGCAGTTGGGGGCATAGTTCATCAATCAAAAGACATAAAATATAACAATATGTCAATCAAAAATGCCTTCAGATATACTTGAATCATTTTAACCTATCCACTCATCAGTTTTAAAACGAGGTTGACTTGGTTTGAGGGAAGCGCTGAACGGAGTCGCCCGCTACGGTCTGAGTTTTTTTTTTTTTTCCTTGGAGAACCGAGAAACAAAATGGTGATTGAAGAATTCGCGAAACAAAGAAAAGAAAATAGCAAAATACGGAGCAGGTTGTTTTTGTTTTGGACTCGGATAGGAAATGGAAACGGGAAGTAGATTTTATGTGATTAATTTAATTGTATTGGGTTTGAGCTGCTTGGATTGTTGGAAATAGGAGTGAAGATGTTCATTTAAACGTTTGGCTAGCCCACAGCTATAACTAGTTACTACTAGTTGTTTAATTATTTTTTAAAAAAAATCCGGTGGTCCATCGCCACTGCTAGCCCCCCTTTGTCCTTCATTGTATATGATTTGTTAATAACTCCTCCTTAACCATTCGGAGTATTTTAGACCTTTTAACAACTAGTACGAACACCGTGCAAAGCACGACATATTTTTTTCCCGCTACAGTAATTCATGTTGACTGCTATAGTAATTTGTTTTTTGGATTGCTACAGCATCCCGTCTCTGATACAGTATTCCCGTGTGCTACGGTAATATTTTTTCAAAATACATTGTTCCCAGTTTCCTGTTTGTTACAGTAATAAAGCTGTAATAAAATATTGCTTAGCATGAATAGTGAATCTTGGGTTCTCCCATTTGTATAGAAGAGTAGATCTTGTGTACATAATTATGATGATCTTTTGACAGCCTAATTTTTTTTAATTATTTTCATGATCCAAAATGTTGACTGATGCTGTCATGGGGGTTATCTGTAAAATGCAAAAACTCATAGAGTGTTCTGCAATTTTAGTGGTTATTAGGGATTTAGTGTTATTTTAAGAATTACTAGGGGTTTATTGCAAACCAATGGGAAGTTCTTGGGGGTTTAGCGCAATTTGGGGGCTGTTTGGATGTTGCGCGTAAACTTAGGTGTAAACTTAGGTATTTATGACACCATATGGAAAGTCATTGTCTACCTCATCACTTTATATTTTAGCTTTTACATTGTTTATTTTGGATTGATTGAAATTTTTTAAATGATAAATTTATGTTGTTTGGTTTACATTAGAGAAATTGTTGGAAAGTGATTGTGACGTGGACCGCAGCCCTTTTCATTTGTCACTCAGTTGGTCTATGGGCCGATCTGGACCGAGGCTTTACTACTTTTGGGCCCAGGGCCCTTCCCCTAAGTGAACTTCAGCCCACAAACTCGAACACATATTAGTAAAATCTTTAACTCACCAAATTCGTTACGACCACAATCTAACCAACGACGTGGCTGCGAGTATGTCCCAATACCATCACGCCACGCGTACAACCACGTCAAAGAGGAGGGGCTACAAATCCTAATAAGTAGTCGAAGAAGAAAGAGAGGGCAGAACTGAGAGCAGCAATGGCGTCGCTAAAGAAGAGAAGCGCTAGCTCGATCTGGATCCTTCTGTTGGCGATCTTTGCAACTTTCACCCTCATTCAGGTTTATTTATATGTATATAATTTTTACCAACTTTTAACCTAATTTCATGATTTTTTTGTTCTTTTTTTTATTTTTATTTTTTTGATCTTTACCTTGATCTGTTTTGTTTAATTGTGAGAAGTCAAATCTTTGCTTTCAGATAGTAAATGTAGGTGCCTGCTTCAGAAATTTCAATTTTTGCCACTGATCTGGGTTGGTGCAATGCAATGGAACTAGGGTTTTAAGTGGAGATAAAATTGATTAGAACGCTTTGAACAAGGATTTGATTCGAAATTGGATCAAATATTGATATTATGGCTTGTATTTTGTAGAAAAAAATGAACTCAACCTTCAAATTGGTGTATAATACAGGGGAAAATATTTACTTTTGCTCCATCATTTTATACTAAATAGATTTAATTCATACATAGAAAGTGATGCCGCCAATGATTAACCTTCTTATGCGCTTATGGAGATTTTGAATTTTTTATCGGATTATTCTATGGCAATCGTAATCTTACTTGTCTAAGTTCATCTTGTTTTGTAATATATGTTCAGGCCAAAGCCACGAAGGAGAACCTGAAGGAAATTACAAATAAGGTTTACTTTGACATGGAGATTGATGGGAAGCCTGCTGGTATGGTTGTCAGAGTTTCATGCCTTGATGAGCCTAGTTATATTTATCGTATAAAATTTAGCGTAAATTATACTATACCCCTAAGGACTTTCAGCGTTTTGCAGTAAAACCCCAATAACTATCTGGAATTGCAGAAAATCCCCAATAAGTTTTCGCATTTTGCAAGTAACCCCATAGATTAGAACCCAAAAACAACATAAAAAATGCATTTGGAGAGGTGTTAGGGTTTAGTGTAATTTACCCAAAAGGTATGGGTTTTTTTTCAATAGTTGTTACAGGTTAAGTTTGATTTTGAAAGTTATTGGGAGTTTACTCCAAAAAGCTGAAAGTTCTTGGGAGTTTTGTGTGATTTACCCTAAATTTTACTTGTGTTAATTAGTTAATTAGCTTATCATGTTTTTATAATGATGTTTTCTAACTTAGTTTTCCTTGTTTATTCTAGCTTGTTAATGGGCTCTAAGATACATGGAGTTAATATGTAGAATATGAACCATAGAAAATGCCAAAATAATGCACCATTGCTTGCATTGACAAGTAATCTTGTCAAACTAGCGAATGGGCAAAAATATGCTAATATGTGTGCGACTGTGTTTTGAAGCATCTTTCAGTGGTTTCTTTCCATGAGCAATTGTGGATTGAGACATACAGGTCCATTTTGTTGGGACATTGGTCTGATTTTACAAAGAGGGCTTCTGAAGCTTTACCAATTAATAATTCTGATAGTCTGTTATTCACTTTAACTGTAAGAGAGCTTTTGACCAATTCTATAATGCACATTTTGTTAATTATATAGCCAACAGTTTCATTTGTAGCTAAAGAATTATTTCACTCATCATGACTACATTGTCAGGACCTTCAACTGATTAAATGTCTGGTAGCGTCTTTGGTTTCCACTCGTTCTTAGCTTCTTTAGTTCTAGGTATTTCAACATTTTTTCTGATTTTATTCTTTGGCCTCTGAATGTGTGAGTCCTTATCAAGTCATAGAGTGGAAATTATTATGTTCATATCTCGTGTAATTTTTGACAATTCTAAGATGTTGGTGAAGTCTTTCAAGGAAGGTTTCGAACAACTCATTTTGTATATATAATATTTCATTCGTGCATAATTCACAGCCTATCTTCGGAATCTAGTATATATAGGTTTTTGCATGCTAGGCATGACAAGTTACTCTCAGTGTCTACTCAAGAGAATCAATTTCAAAATGCCTTTCTACAACAGATATGTTTGTTATTTTGTTCAACTTCTCTTTCAGTATGACTGTAAATCTTGACCTATCAATTAATCTGTTAAATATAGGAAGCCTATTATCCACAGGAGTTGTCCTGACATATAACATTATTTAACTTTATATTTCACTTTTATTTCCATAGTCTACGTGGTTGCTGTCTCCTGCTCTTAAACTGCAAGACCTCTCCTAACCTTCTTCAAATAGGTATCAAGACAAAAGACTGTTTCATAAATGGTTATTAAAGAAATCTATTTGCTTTTTGCAAGCAAAGGCACTAAAGGAATCTATTGGCTTAAGTTACAATTTGGAAGTGACTTTTGGTTGTATTATTTAAGCTAATTAGTTCATCAGTTAGGACATTGAGATCTATTATAAGACCATTATCAGATTCTCAAGAATTCTTTTTGCAAACAATCTGATTTTGCGACATGGTTAAGTTCAATTTGTTGGAGTTGTTTAAAGGTAGAATTAGGTCGCTGAAATTATCTTTAGACTAGGGTGAGAATATGAAAAATACCATTAAAGTTTAATTATTACAGAAGCCTCCTTTAGGGGTTTTTGTTTGTTGGGGGGTGGGGGTGGGGTAGGCTCCGGTGGCAGCAAACAACTACCTTGACCTAGTTTCTGATGAAATGTTTATTGAATTCTTCAAATCCCTCTTAAAAAATGTGTGCCAGGCATGTGACGTGTTTTTAACTAGACCTAGCCAAAGTTAGTGTTGTTGCTTGTGTTTTTTTAAGAGCATTTGGGGATTCCATTTGACATTTCACCAGAAAATAGGTCAAGGTGGTTTATGCATTAATCACTAATTAGAACCCCTTGAACGTGGTTTCTGTATTAATTGAACATTAAAGGTTGTTTTTGTGCCATATGTTAGAGGTGGGTTTTGTTGAAAAAAAAAATATATACACATATGCATACATATATATCTATCTACGTATATTTATATATGAGAAAAATATAGGAACTTGGTACCAAGTACAAATTTTGTGCTTGGTAGTGAGATGATACACCTATTCACTCTCTAACCCATGTGAATATATATACACATACGGCACAGCATACAGACAAACACACATATCTACTATATATATATATATTTATATATATATATATATATATATATATATAATATATAATATATATATATATATTAATATATATATATATATATATTATATATATATATATAATATATATATATATATATATATATATATAGCAAAACTTATATCAACTTAATGTGATAGCAAAAATGTTGTCCACCAAACTTTTTAGCCACTCATATTGCCTAGGGATCCTTGCCATAATATAAAAATATATTTTTATATTAATAAATGAGGCGCGTAGAAGCTTTGGTGGACATCAACTTAAATTGATAGAGTCTTACTATATATATATATATATATATATATATATATATATATATATATACATATATATATATATTATATATAATATATATATATATATATATATATATCAATTCAACTTATATTTTGTTGTATTTCAATCAATCGTATCTGAATAGAATTTAGAAGATTTTACTAGACTCT